TTTTATCAAAAAAAACAACTTTTATTAATTATCAAAATTTGTTTTCTAAAGAGTTATTATTTAACTTAAAAATTAAATCTTATATTGATATTATTTATATTGTTAGTTTAAGATACTAGTAATATATACAATATTTATTTTTCAATTTTGTACAACATATTATATTGCATTACAAAAAATCAAAAAATTATAATCAATTTATATCTATTAACTTATTATTATTTTGAACTCAATCAATTAAATATTATCAAATATTAAAACAAATTTATATGATTAAAATACTATACAATGATTAATATAAACAAAACCAGTTTTGACAATAATAGTTAAAGCACAATTATATATTATCAAATATTAATTATATCAATTCAACAATAAAAAAATAATAATAACTTAAATCATATATACTATAATTATTTATACTAATAAAGATTATATTTATAAGTTACAAAAAATCAGAAAAATAGAATAATAAATCCAACTAGAAGGTTTTTTTAAAAATATTATTTTTTTTCTCATAAATTTTATAATTTATTTGATTTTGTTTTAGCTTTAGTTATTTTTATTTTTCTTCTCAAATTTTTTTTATGTTTTAAACTTTTTTTTTAAATAGATAAACATAGTTACTACTTGATTTATATTTAGTATTAATATTGTTTTAAATTTTTTTTTCAATATTATTTATTTATAATATTAATAGATAAGTTAGTATTTAACTTGTTATATATTTTGTATTTAAAAGATATTATTTCTTTTTAAATATATATCTTGTAATATATAAAGAAATAAAGAAATGGTGTTTATTTATAAAATAAATAAATAAATTATACAGTCATAAATTTAATATCATATTAGATATACAGTACTTTAAGAATAGGTTTGTACCTCTAGTGAATAAAGTTTTTAAAAGTATTATTTTATTATCAGTTTAGAACTCTAGTTGTGAAACAGGAAAAATTGTTTAAAACTTGTCTTTATATATACTGTATATATATATCTATAGTGTTATGTTGATTATCTATTTTGTTAACAACTTTTTTAAATCTTTAATCAGTCTGAAAACTCTAACTAGAACTATTTGTTATCTAATTAGAGTAGAGTGCCATTATTATGATCAAATAAGGTTTAATTCCTAAATCAAAAAATATTATGCCAAAGATAAGGGTTATAAGAAAGGAAGAAGAAAATGTTCTGATTACAAATAAACATTCTATTTAATTTCTTATGTGTTATTATTGCTGTATAATATATTGGTTTGTATCTTTTAATTGTATAAGAATATTGCTTAACTTTGTCATTAAGAGGAACCTATACTTCAACAATATGTTTTGCTTGCTATCCAAGGCACTTGTTTGAAGCCAAAGAGAGTTGTTTTCAACCTTCTATATTTTATAATAATTTTTTTCTGTAATATTAATTTTAATGAACGCGTACAGTATTTACAAGATAAATTATAAAATAAAGATGGAATGCATAATTTGGTCCTAATTCCTTATTTCTTTTTTTTATTGTAAAGCAAAAGAGACACATATTATTAAAGATTTCTTGTTATTTATGCGTTTTGCTAATAATAATAAAAATTAATAAATAAATAAAAATTTCCATCCTTCACGTATTACTTTGCTCGTTTCAGTCTCTTCGATCACATTATCGAAAATCGCGTACCCGGGACCACGACCTCACCTACTGTGATTTAATTTTAACGTCACATTTTTATGGATTTAAGTAACCTTCTTACTGTACTATTTATTATTCATTTGACCTGTAAGAGAAAAAAATTTTTTAAGGAATTATTAATTGTCAATGTTAATACAAAATTGGTTATTTGAATCTTCATACCTTTAAAAAAAAAATTCATGGTGTATGTTTATAAAAATATTTTAAATCGATAAAAATGAATATGCAGTATATAGAAAATATTCTTTATAACATGTTCTTCAGCATACAGGTATTAATCAAAAGGAGAATAAAATATTGTTGAAAATCTTAATATATCAAATATCGATTTTTTCATAGATAATAAAATATTTAATGCTGGAAGGCCCTTTCCCACAGTGAGGGAGTAAACTTAAAATGCCGGAATCACTTTACGCCATTGTTTTGTATCGAAGAAAAAAGGAATGTGTCTGAAGGAAACCTATGTTTTGACTCTTCATATATTTCCTTTACGAACTCAATTGTTTTTTATATAGTGCGTGTGTTTTCGCGTTAAATTTAAGAAGAGCGTGTCGAAGCAGCAGATAAAATTCATTGATTCATATGTGTATGGATGAAAGTTTATATTTAATTACTGTAACTACGAAACACAAGTAACAAAAACAGCATAACTCTATTTTAAATTATATACTGGAACAAATGCTTTATTGTAAGTTAAACATTTTAGCAGACAATAATCTACGGAATGTTACAAAGAATGAAGACAACACAATTAACCCGATAACGTATAAACTTTTGGATACTATAGAACGATACTATAGAACTTTTGAGAATGATAATATAAAGCCCTTGTAAGAGCTTTATTAAAATTAACCTGTGTTAATTCACGCGTAATTATTTATCTGGATGATAACTTTCTTAAAGATATGGATTTTTGTACGCACTTTATTGCATTATAGAACCAAACAACAGGTAATATAATTGAAAATGCTATCATAATGCTAGATGGAAAGTTATTAGGCCATCAAGTTATGAATATTATTATGAAGCATCACGGTAAGTCTTGTTTCACGAAAAATGCTCACTAACTTTATCACAAGTACACAATTGATTCTTAAACGGCTTAGTCGATTAGAGAAGTGGAAAACTCGGTCTTACTCAACAAAACATAATGCCGCAAGTCATTACTTAGTGCTGCCCATCATCTATTCCTAATCAGAATTAAATCACGTGAAAATGGTTTGTTTTTTAGCTTAAACTATTACTATAAATTCATTCTTTTTTTTTACATGTGAAGTTATTTTATTTTTATATCTGTTGCATCCTTATTTTACCGAGTATTCGTTGCTGTCTTCTATGACTAACTAACATGCTATAAGCTATAATGTTTTTAACGTTATAATTATTTGTCTCTTATTGACCTGATAAATCGAATTGTGCTATTTTTTTACATGTACTTATATCTCTGCGTTTTAAGTTTTTTAATGTCATATACCGTATGTCATACATATAATATTATAAATGCCAAGTATCCTGAGATTTATAGTTTTTTACTTCAATTGCCGTTAAACGTAAATTCATAAAATAAAAAAAATACATCTATTGATGATATAATACACAAGAAGTTAATAAAATATCAAAAAAAAATTTTCGTTTTATTTTTCAAATGGTGGTTAACATTTGTTGAATAAAAAAAGTTTTCTAATAAAAAACACATTATTAGTTTATTTTGCAAAAAAAATTTTCTTGTCTGCATTGACCTAATTTTAAAAAACCCATTACAACCATATAAATGTATTAATTGAAAATTCTAAATTAAATAATAAGCACAAGAATATTTTGATCAATGTATACTGTATATATAATGTATATACTGTATAATTTGATTTAATTAAAATGTTTAACATTATAAAATATTTAAAAAATAAGATTTTTATATATCAAAAATTTTTTTATATTAAATTGTATAACATCTCCTGACCTATTTATATGATTTATTGTATATACGAGCTTATACAGTATGGGGTTATATAATTTCAATTTTGAAATTCTCTATGCAAATAATAAAAGCTCACTTGAAACATTTTCTTTTTATTTTACAAATTCATATGAAGTCATATACTATACAATAAAAATATGTATACGTATGCACGGCATAGAAATATTTTAGAATGTTTAAGCAAACTTGACCATGATTATTTTTTTATGGATTCTTTCATTACCACGGTTTATTATAATAAAAATATTTTAAAATAATGTTTATTATCCTTTTTTTGAAAAATAATAAAATATTATTTATTATCCTTTTTTTGAAAAATAATAAAATATTATTTATTTACCAATTTCTTTTTAAAATAATAAAAAGCTATTGTTTTCATTACCATAACTTGAAGGCAAAACCATATCAAATTATTATCATTTGTTAATTCATCAAATAACAATTCGATGTGATCATTCGTTATGATTTTTTTTTCCGAACATATCGTGTACTTATGCATTATCAAAAAAAAAAACCCCCCTAAAACTTTTCTTGTTATTATGATATACAGTATATACATGTAGTACGTATTTTAAACGACTGGTTTATATAAAAGAAAAAAAATTTCTAAAAAAAATTATCTTAATAGCAATCTTTAATAACAATTAACATATTTGACATACAGTATGTATACCAAATTAGAAATAGTCAAATAATCAACAAATTTTCATTTGCTCATTTTCGTATGTGACGATTGAAAAATTAACAGGACATTGATTACACAATATCAAATATACAATGTAATGAAAATTCAGCATTAACTAATGGTAATAGCAATACTAACGAAAAAAATTGTTATTGATCCATCATTTTCGTTTTGTCATTAAATATACACACCAACTACAAATTTTTTGAATTTTATGAGGTCTTCTCAAAATTGGTAGGGAGGCGTATTAAGTAAGATTTTTTTTGTTTCAAAAAAAAGAACATTCGTTGGTCATTGATCAACCGTTTCATTAGAATGTACAGTAATTGATTTTATTGATCATATGGAGGGTGGACAAGACGCCATGAACACTTTTTAAAGTTATAATTTAAAGTTAAATAAGTCAACATTTTACGTTAGCATAATTCAATTGCTTAAATAATCTCGATTGTAAGAGGGTGCGCAATATTCTGTACTCATCATCACGAATTTTATTGACGCGAATTAATGAACAACACTAAAGGAACAAAGAATCGCGTCGTGATTTTCCTATTCCTAATTAGGAATTAGAGCGAACGCGAGGAAATTTAAGTGACTCATGATAATTGTCATTCCTCCATTAAAAAAGGGCACCAGATTTAACAAGCATTTAATAATATAATGCTTGAGTTGGGTACTTATGACACAGTGTTGCTTCAATCGGTCTTCGTGGCGTCAAGTAAGCCCGACGTACACAATAGTGCACAGGCAAATTCTATTTAATTTGCCGCACCATAACCCAAGGCGTCAATGTTGGCCAAATTTGTAATTCAAAGTTTAATATACCCTTCTATGTTTCTCAACCATACACCGGCGGTCTTTGCGAGGGCCGGTTCACGCTGGCGTTGGACGCGGGTCCTCGCAGTACTTGTGCATCCTCAAATGGGCATAGAGGCACGAAGGTTAATTAAATGTAAGTGTCAATAAGGTATATTGGTCAGAATCTAACCAATTATTAATATGTGCATCATTACTTACATTTTTAGTGTCGCCAGCGTTTACGTAACACGAAATTTTAAATATCTAATAAATGGGCTGGGTCATGTGTTATATGCGTGCGTGCATGCACGAATGTTCAAGAGGCGTTTTGTGCGTTCAGTTAACACCTCCGCCTGGCTATGTATGTGAAATCCAAAGAACGAACACGGCAAATGGCTATCATTATCAATTAAGTGTTCATTAAATCGTCATCCACCCTAGCAGTCGTAGAAATCACAAAACCAGTAGAGCCAACATTACTATACTTGGCAATTAATTACATAATTACATCATAGATGTGATTGAGATAATCATTGTACTATATGTAGATTCATCGAAAAACGAAAACCTGTTCTAGACCAGACGAATTATTTTTCATAACGAAGATTCGACCTGTACCCGTAGTTTATTAGCTGCCACGTTTATCATAAAAAGGAATATGTCGTGTTCCAAGGAACGTGGACAAGGTCGTGAATGTATTAACCGTGTAAACACTATTAATTGACTCAAAATAGTATATTCTTTAAATAATCACCGAATCCTTATGAATTTTTACACGTAAACATTTAATGTAATAAAAGAAGATAGACATTGATGAAGATTTTAGGGGGCAATTGTAATTTTACGCATTAACAATGATTCACAGTAAATTTTCACATCATGTGCGGTTTGACGGGTCCGTGTGTGCCCCCCGAGCCCCCCGAGCCAAATATATTTTTCAACATTGTTAAGAATTCCTCCGACAAAATTTGAAACCTCTTTGGAGTTAGAAATTCTTTGATTTTTTGACAAATGGAGTCAAATATTTCTTTCGACATATTTAAGAATTTCTCCAACGCAATTCGCAATTTATTTTGGGTCGAGTGAGTGGATTCCGTGTTGTCTTTTTCTCTAGAGAAACAAATTTACTGTTATTAAACGTGACCGTCATTCCCATTCGATCAGCTATCGACACTTACAAGTAATAATCGAAATTTTTCTTGTCATAATAATCCTTGACGCGTGTGTCCTCGTAAAAATACTTGGTTAATACTTTCCACTCGAAATCCACATCCTCATCCTTCGGAACACAGTATGTGTCGTGAGAATAGACGATCAGCCGATGATTTTCAGTTTCAAGGAGAAAGGCTCTGTTTTCATTGATCGGAGACGCGTTAATTACTTTTTTACAAACAGCAAATCTCGTCACTTTTTCCTCCGCATATTTATCCTTGTTCTTCTCGAGACGTGAGATCAGATTAGAATTCAGGAAATCCGGTTTCTCTCTAAGATTATTCAAGATTTCTATAAGATCATCTATGGCAGACATGACGTAGGGGCTTCTAAAACTTTGGCAATTCAAGTTGTAGGAAGATTCAACTTTGTTCCATTGAATTTATATTTTCACCTGTAATTATTTAAAGATATCATAATTTACTGTCCCATGTCACTTTAGTTATTGATAAATTGATGCTTATTCATTTTTTCAATCAATCGGTTGAAAATTAAATCTTACACGGTCGATTTGTTGATATAAGTGACCCCTTTTTCTTAGTGATTCATATTTAAATGAAGATCAGTGTGATCTCATCAATTGTTGCAGTTGATTTCGTTCAAGACTTTATGCACAACATCAAGTGATTATATGATCTACTTCTGCGATTGGTGATTTTTCGAATTCTTGTCGTACTGGACTTCAAAGAAAGAAAGAGTAAAGTCTTTAACAAAAAAACGTGGTATGATCGGCTAGAATTTCTTGAATCTATTTTCGCGTTCAATCAAGCTTGACCAGGGGTCAACCAAAGAATTATGTACAATAGATCGGGTTCGACTTTTATGGTCTGAATAGAATTCAATCTACGAATATAAGAAGTTTCACCAACGACACCATATTAATTAAAAGTTATAAATCGAATTCGTTATGTGATCATGTGAACACATGCCCATCACATCACATGACAGTCACATTTTGGTTGCTGATTAGGTCAGTCAAAGTTACATGAAAACACGCTAAAAAAGACCATGAAAATTTAGAAAAAAACAAGTGAATCGAAAAGATTCCTGTTTTGCTTTTCTTTAGCCTTTTCAAATACATCGAGTTGATCTCATTGTAGGCTGAAGAACTATTTGTTTTTTTGTTTTGTTTTTGTTTTTTGTTTTTTGTTTTTCTTTCATTAAAACAAATAAAAATTCGTTTACGATGTTGATGCTGATTGTTTACAAAACGAAAGCCAATTCTGACAAGATGTTTGGTGTTTTAAGGATCGCGCATAGCCTTGGTTGGCTTGCCTCTTCAAATATTTGAATCGCGTGGTCATCCTATTTGTTTACACTTTTCGAGGGTAGATGGAGGTGGTAGGCTGAACAATTCCCAATAATAAGGATGAATCGTGAAATAAGAAACACCTCCTCTCACAATTGTTGATGTTTATGATAACATGGCTGGCGTCGTGATAACATTCAACGTTTATATTTGTCGCCACGATCTGAGTTTCCCGGCGACTTCGATACGTTTCAATCTACCACTAACCACGTCACATTCTACAGCGGGTGGCTTCTGGAATTTCAAATTTCTGAGGAGGCTTTGTCCGTTACAGAGAATTAATTCGACCATGAAATTTCTGCTCCGTCTCATCTGCCCTTGTACCTTAAAGATTGAGCGCAGTGCTCATGTGCAATATTACGCGTCCTTCAAATTTACTGCATTGCCTCAATCCGCCACACTTATCCCTGCTAAGCCATACTTGATCCCAAAAAAAGGAAAACAAATAGTCGAAACCAAGCCAACAAATCTCAAATGGAAATATATAATAAAGCTTATCAGGATAAACAAATAGTAAACAACAAGTAACTAGCGCCATGATAAGCCACTCGTGAGGCGAATCCTTTATATATAACTCAGCCAGTCGTGAAACCAATCACAATATGATAATCCAATGTTGGCCAAGCCATTCCCGATATTTTGCGCAGCTAATTTTCATTAATTTAGATGAATTTTAGATACTCTTGTGCGATGGCTTAGTTCCTTATTATGTTCCAGTGTTCCCTGATGTCCAAACAGGAAAGTTAAATCCCCGGCACCCGAATCCTCATATTTATACAAGTCAAGGCTTGGCAAACGGTTCAATTCGAGGACTCGATATCACCGATATCTCAAGATTTTGCACCCAGCCCGGAAAAGACGCGATTTTTTTGGAATCATCTTTCCAAGATTATGGAGAAACACGACAAACAAAAAAGTTTTGATGAAAAAAAAATGCTATGCTCACTAAAGAAAAAAAGTCTGTGATGTAAGAAGAGTGTGTTACACACGATCTTCAACTCTAGCATTTCACACAAATCGAATCCACGTAACACGTAAACAACCCAAATATGATCATGTTTGAAACTCAGCGATACACCTGTTCCGTGTTCTAATGAACAAAAAAGAGATGGATTTTCACGGTTTGTCACTTGGGACAGGGTTGTACGCACGATCTTTTAGGTGACAGCCCATCTTCTTTGCTAGACATATCGAATCATTTCCGGTCGCGATCTGATGAAAATGGAATGCATTCTTGCACTCTGGATGCAATTTAGGAAATCATTTTGAAATTTAATGTTATTATTATTATTATTATTATTGTCGTTGTTGTTACTTTGTTGGTAAGAAATTGAAAGAAAAAGGTACATTATTCCCTGAATTCCGGAACTAACGCAGGTGTCTCAATAAAAAACTGGATATAGTATAATTGATTTTAGGGTACATTCTTAAATTTTCATTTACCACTTTTGGAGTGTAACGCGTGACCTTCGAGTGTGTCGCGTGACCTCATTCCTTATCTAATATCTTGATTTCGTTTGCCTCTTCCCTCAAATCTTCTGATAATCTCTTTTCCAATGTATTATATTGTACACAAGTGCAGTATATGTCGTATGCGTGATTTTTAATTCAGGAGTGTATTTTAACCCACTATCACCATTATGACTACGATATCATATATCATATACACGCCATTGTCACAGTTCATCAAACATTGTTTAAGCACCAATCGCCTCGTTCGAGTTATGGGCGCTCCCCGTAGATAGCAAGTGAAATCTTGATTCAAGTTCCTGCAGGGAAAGTGTCTTTATTCGTAAAAAAATGAAAATCAAAAAATTTCCAGATCATTTATTTTTGTTTACTTGAAAGGCTCCCAAGGAAATCTTCTTGCGTAATCGGCCACATGACGCTCTCCGTGAGAATTGATTTACACACGCTCTGTTCATGCAAGTTTCCGTTCCCGTCACTTCGACTCTACTGTGATGCCGCGTCATCAAACTCGTTTCATTACCAAAACACACTCGATCCAACATTCTTTCCAGCATCTCCGAGGAATGTGAATGTACATACGAACGTGGTCGCAGTTGAGATCAATGCTCTCGATCTTCAACCCGGATTTTCAAACGTAAGATTACTGCGCGAAAATGTGATACGAACCTTGCGTCAAATTGATAACAACAATTTCTATAGTCGGAAAGGTAAGAAGACATGAGCTTCCATCAAACCTTTCGAAAATTAGGCGTTCCGTATGACAGAAGTTTTTTTTTACACATGCACCGTTTCTTATTTGGGCAAGTCCGCAATGTGAGGATTCGGTCCTTTGTCAAGAATTTTCCGTGAAAGAAACACCGATTGACCACGCGATAATATCACCGAAAGCACGCGTTTGACAAATTTATCAATCGTCACCTAATTTATAAATTTACTAAAAAAGGAATTCGATATCGGTTCAAGGTTTTTGAGATTTCATGTAATTCGCATCTAACGGTGCGAGGGTGGATCTTTTCCAAATGCAAAATGTTTTTCTTCGGTCTGGAAACACTGGAAAAAATCTTGTAAGGATGAACAAAGATTCCCAATTGACGACTCACGAATCTCGCGTGTAATACATTTAATACTCGTGTCCGATGAATATGTGGTCAGGTACACTCAAGTATCCCGCAGGTTTATCGCACACGGTCAACCGTGATAGGTGATGTGCGGTTGACGATCTCGAAGAGCTACACGAATTTAAGGTTAATGCAATACTTGAATTCCAGAGGTCATGGGATGTGACACAAGTGTCAGGCGGAAAATGACGTTTTTCCATGATTTCTTTTTTTCTTTATTAGACAAGGAGGAACCAAATTTTTTGTTCGACTTTACGGAAAATCTTTATTCATTTCAGTACGTGTGTCATCAATGTGTAGATAATAAAGATAATATGCACTTATAATGAATGGTAAATGATAATGATAATGATAACTCGGACATGTCAAACGATGGCCGTTAAAGATAAGCAAGCGTAGCTATACTTGGGTAACGACAGATTAAAAAAGATTGTCACTAAGAATTGACCATTATGGATTTTCCAAATTTGACAATGTGGACATTAGCTAATTATTGTTATGAAACACGCTTGACATTTTGTTCTGTTTCGCATCTTAATCTACCATCTCGTGATACCTTTAGATAACGATTTGATTTTTTTGAATCATAATTTATCAAAGGTGTCACCAGTCACAACCAGGGTGTGGTTAATACCGTACCGTACCGACACTCTTTTTTGGGGGGGACCATCGACCACACGCCAAATCAGGGACCACATCACCCTCCCACCTGACGCCCCAAAATTTGGACCCCCTACCAATTTTGGCGTTTGAAGAATTACCCAGAAAAATTTAGCGAATCTTAGCCCTTGCCATTTTCATCAGACTTCCTTTGGGTTGGGGAAATCGCCAAAAATTCTTTGGGGATCTTCGAGGCAAAGCGATGCATACATGGATACGCACATATTGGAAAACAATCAAAAGAGCACAACAAAAGACGGCGTAAAAATAGTGTGCCCTAACGAATACTACGGAAGAATAATTATGGGCTATCGTAAAAGAAAAACCTGAAAAAAAAAAATTTTTTTTTCAAAAATTTAATCGCTTCATTGTAATGATGGTTTACGCCAATTACCCAAATGGATTAAGCTCGTTTTAGCGAAGAGATGTCGTGTGATGTACTGAATTCCTGTGCGCGCGCGTGCGTAGCCTGTGTCACAATGTCCTTTTGACATGAATTCTGTTTTCGTAATTTTGGGCGATTGGAAAAGGTCGGAAGTTGGAGGAAACGAGTTTTAAGGATTTTCTATGTAAACACAAAGCAACAAGGTTCCGACAATACAATTAGTGCGTGCGAAGAGAAAGGATCATTAACCTGTTTCATTGTGTAAGAGGGAGTGACCTAATAATGGACATTGTGAGAACTTTTTTTTCACTCCAAAACAAATCCCAACAATTTATTTTCTGTAGAGACAACAACTCCAATGGCATTGGAATTAGACTGAAAAGGTTTCTTTCAGAATAGACAAATAAACAAATACAGTGGATAAATAAATGAACAAATAAATAAATACTGCAAAAATAAATAGGTGATAAAAAAAAAAAAAAAATAAAGAAAAATAAAGTCCCGGTTTCAGATAACCTTTTGGTAATTATCTATTTTTATTGATTATAAAGTTTTACGCTAGTCGTTGGATAGATTACAAAGCTGCTCTGCAATGATAAAGGAAATAACAATTTAAAATGGACGAATGAGTGTTGGGGCACTGATCCTTAACAGAAGTAAGTTTCTCTGGCTATCATTGTATGCATGGATGAGAAACGACGAGCGCGCGACGATTGCATGCTCCAAGAGGGGAAATTCACAATGCAAGAGATACATGCAATATTTAAAGGCGCCGTCGAAGAAAAAAAAAAAAAATTTTTTTTTTTTTTTAAAAAAATGTACATATATATATAGATGACGGCGTAACATGCAAAAATAAACGACCAATTGGGCGAAACACGATCCCGGTTTTGGTAAAACGCCCGAGCTTGTAGGAGGAAAAGAGACCTAAATAGAGTGTGAATGAGTGAAATAAGATGCATCAACAGTAATCCTAAATTTCAAGATGAATGTTAATGGATGGTAAATCTTGTCAAACTTGCATTGCTCATTCGATGTTTTTGAATATAGACTTGGCGAGCGATCGCGGGGAACACCGATGAAATGCTACATGAAAAGGACATATGCCGCATAGAAGTCAAACACCAATCCCGTGACCACTAATTGATGTAACCCACATGGTCAGGAATTGGCATTTGTTTGTTTTACCCACACATATTTGTTTACGGGTCCTCGAATTTGACATATTTCTTTGCAAATACTTGGTCACCTTGAATGCAGTAAATTTCTTAAACTTCAATCAAGCTGGTTCTGGTTGAACCCTTGCATGCTTGGTTCATGCCTGACGAAAATAAAAATAGCCTATCCCTGCACAAAGATTTGTTAAACAAGATGTACTGTAATTCGGCGTAAATAACCTTTTGATTATTATTATATTATATCTACAGTATAATTTTATTTATTTGTTATGATTATTATTTTATAATTATCATATACAACATTATTTAATACTCTACTCTCCGTTTCTACGTAATTGTTTTGACGATGAGTTTTGCTCGGAAGTAACCATTTCACCTTGATCGATTGTTGTTTGGAATTGTGATCGAATATAACGGATAAAAGGAGTAATAAATATTTTGGAATATTCGTAATCCCTGTGAACATGTCGAAATTTCCCAAAAAAATTTCTAGGTGCACAAAATAATTATCAAAGAATAGTTACATCCTGACAAATGTAACCCAACATCTCCGGTCTCTTTCCCGTGAGAATTTAATTACACATGGGTGTCACGATGCTGTCAATTAGATTGCGGCTAAGCACTCACCTCGGCCTTTACCATAAAAAAAATGCACCATTTCCTTGAATTTGACTCGTAGTTCTTTATTTTTTCTCCGTTTATCGACTTGTGCATGCAAGGAAAGTAAACTGATTTGTCGCAAATGCATGTAGGGAACGGAAGATGCATTGCACTTTCTATCGAATGATGAAATTTCATTTTTTGGCGCTTTAAAAAAATAGGGTGACGCAAAAGGATAGATATGTGTTAAAAATAAATCGAAACGAAGGTTTCGAAAGGAGAGGTGGTATAATGATAATTACTGTATGTGATAGGCGTCGAAATTTGAAACATCGCCCGAAGATCCATTGATATGCTGTATTACATTGAACGATAAGGCTTCGTAATACTCACCTGCGGAGTTTGGCAAGCGATCTTTGTTAGAGTGTTTGCGACTTCTCATTAAACCAAATAGCGAAAGACAGAATGCTGTTGGGCGCTCGTCCACTTTCTTGTTTATCGGACCCGTTTTCCGGTTGAGTCAATTGAAGATTCGTCAACATCTGTGTATTAAACCAAATAACACCGGTCGCCTGCTTCATTGTTTCTGTGTAAAACTCTAAAGCAAAGAACAAGATTCTAATGTCGAACCTTCAAAAAAACGAGAGGAGTACATTATTATTACTTTTCTGAAGTCCATACAAACAAAGGCGTAAGGCGCCAGCAAAAACAACAACTACGCGTATCAACGATACGCCAAAATATAAACGCATACACTGTCATGTTATACACAACACGCATTATCGTAAAGCTCAACTTTACCGTATACGATCAAATTTTTCTCCCGCCGGGTGACCCTCATTTTGTGATGCTCAATGATGACAAGAAAGTGGAACGGTGGGCGCACACCTTAAAGGATATGCAAATCTTTTGTGTGTGTGTGTGTGTGTGGTAGGCGTAAAAGCCTTATGAGGATGAATTTAGTGTCATTCATATCATAATGATGATGATAACACGCCCGACGTGTTGCGTGATAAGTGGAACACTTGACAAGGAAGAAAGAGGGCTACCAAAACGTGTTACCTATGGCCATGGACTTTGTTCCTTCGATGTCCCGCAATCTTTACCACCCTAAACAAATGAATTGGTAATCATGGAAAAACCTTCGGGTATTAATCCAAAAAAGAAAAAATCAAATCAAAATATAAAAAAAATAAATACGGTTCGATTTTCGGGTGAACGCTTATCGACGTACCAAACCGTTATGTTTTCGTTGCTCGGTTTATCTAATCGCCGTCAGAGCCGACTAAAGTTCCGGGAAAATAAGTTTCCAATTTTGGTAAAATATTATCAACAAATAAAGAAAAAGTTGTGCACGTATGAATTTACACATTCTAATGGCTATTTCCTATTTGCTGATGTCAAGTAGTGCTTACCGAACGCTGACGCACACGATGAAAACGGAAGATCTCACGAGTCGCATTAAAAAAAGAAAAGGGAAACATGCATATTTTTAATGAGAATCATATTTAAAATTTTAATAAACATGAAACCATGACATGAATGCACCGCAAGTGACATTTGAGACAAGTAATATATTTGCATGTGCAAAATCCTCACGATTATTATGCATGATGAGAATATTGCACGCATCAAAAAGGGATCATTAATGGAAGAAAAGGTAATTTAGCCATTGATCATCTACGCTTTTTTTTTTTTTTTGGATCTTGGATAATATTTTTCGCGCGACAGCCAAAGAATTTACGATATATCTATTCTCTTCCCCTCGGTAGAATAAAAATGGTAAATGTTACGTTATATTACCCACGTGACCTTTACGAAATTAGCAGCAAGTTTTTTTACCCAAGCTTTCAGGGGTTTGATCTGCCGAACAAGTAATTGTCACATCAAGTTCCACGAAACAGAATCTTAGTAATCAAAATACAGTATCAATACATAAAAAAAAAAAAATAATAAATCAATATACTGTATATATTATACACGAGAGGAACTAGACAGGAATGGATATATTGAGTGATGTTTCGGGATTTCGTATTGTTACAAGTGGTAAAGAATTGTGAGAAAATTTCTCAGATGAATGCGTTAATCCACTCGACCAATCACTCAACTGCAGCAAGGATAGTTTCTCGATGACCCACAAAAGGTGGAGAAAACAAAGCCACTTGTCCATATGAGTAGAAAGAGTTCTGTGAATAAATCACCTGTTACAAATTTCGGAAAGAAGCCTTTAAATTAGGAGAGTCGAGCATCATAGAATTCTCGTCCGATTGCAAGTTACAATGCACCTGTTCAAATGGTACATATAACGCGTTTCAATGCAAAAGGATCTTGGTATGATTATCAATCGATCGTAAGAATTATTTCTCATGCAAATTATTATAAACCACGAGTTAAAATTTATTTTATTTATATTACGCATTCTTGAAGTAATGCAAATGCAAAACAGGTGTGAACATCTCAGATTACCTAAGTCAAGGAATAAAACTGGTATATACCGGAGGATCGTACCACCGTAATTATGCAAATCATCTACCAATAACGCTACACAAATCGACCAATAGGGATTGTTTAGATACATCCAAAATGTCACATTTTTTCGACCATGTAATAAAGCACGTAAACAAACAAAACAACGGAAGAGTTTATCATCATCTATGTGGATAAATGTCAGATCCCAGATTCGATTGTCCATATAACAAATATTTTGATATGAGAACATTATTTACACCGACTGGTTCGGTAATTGTTACGAATCACTGTTGTTGGTTCACGTATCAACAACAACAAATGTGAAAAATCCGAAATTTTAAATGTGTGGATCCAAGCAATGCTGGGAGCTACGTAGCCTCGCCTGTCGGGAATTCCAACATGATGGGGTGTTGGCTTATAATTTGATCGTGCAATCATATCCCCATTAATTGATACCAAGGATACTGCGGTGGGGAGGGTCCATTAACATTGTTTCTTTCTTACACATTTACGGCACACAAATTATTTGTGATTTTCGCGAAAAAAACAATGTTATCCTACGGGTACACTTTCACTAGTTCAAAAACAGTCCACCATGCGTTCATCATCACTATGTTGTTTTTATGTGCGTGCAAATAAGTATGCATAATTAAGGTAGTCTAATTTTATAGAGTGTGTAAACCCTCAAGTCACTAATATGTAGAGTTCATGCATAATTTTGCATAAATATTCAACCTCTTTTTGGCAAGTCATTTGACACGGGAATATAGAAGTTCCTAGTTTGAGGAAAGAGATAACTTAATTTAAAATAAAAACAATAGAACCGTGCCGAATTTAAAGTGATTTTTTTACGATTATCCTCAAGTGTGTTGAATGAACATCTACATTTATACTTTAATTGTTTGCATTTCTGTAAATCTTTATTTTGCCATGCCGAGTAATGATAGTGAAGATTATAATTTGGTGTAAATGGAAGGCCCGACTTTAAATAAATGTCTTAATTCGGTAATCGTCTGCATTTTAGAAGTAGGCTTCCAAGTGGCTTAGGTGTTCACAAATGCGTTTCCTTTGGTGGGAGTTCTGTGGTTGGCCCATTAAGAATGCATGAGATCTTATTGGATGCATCTGAAGTTACAATAATCGTGTGTGCTTCCCAGGTATGATATGATTGTATCATGGTGATGATAGTAATTTGCGTATTTTCGATCGATGTTTCTTCTCTCGTACCAAACAATCATAACGCAAGAAGCGGATGGGTTCTCTTTTACTTGCAGGATGCATTTATGTATATGCGCTTTCATATTGCATGTTTTTCGCAACGATTTTTTTTTTTTTTTCTTTCAAAAATTTTATTTTATTTATGGATTTTTTCTGATTGTCTGAAAGATCCCCGTTCTAAAGGAGCGTCCCTTAGGTCACAGATTTCTTAAATTGGAGTTTTCAATGATGTTAATAAGGTGTTTAACATGATGGTTTTTTGCCTGTTATGATTGTTCTCTTCACCGCCCATGTTATGTTTTTTCTGTGTCTATTGGTGTTTCGCTTGCGTGTGTGCCTGTTGATTTTCTGCAAACAGAGGGTTGAATAATGCGACTTACTGCCTAATTGAGTGGTGATGTTTAATGAACGGGGTTTTGTATAACGGAAGTTCAGGATTAAATGTGGATCCACAAAAAAAATATCGATTCTGTGACGGAAATGAATCGAGTTACCAACAATGCGTCAAGAATTAAGTTAGATTCATGAGAAAAAGAATATTCCAGTACATCATTCCGAGAAGTTTGGATCGAAGACCTGTTGTTAGCCAAAAGAGGCAAGACTACTTTGGAAAAATGATTATATTTTACTTAATCCCCAAGAACCAATGTATTTCTCCGACGACGACGAGGTATCCCACAAATCTATCCTAATATGGTAATCCAACTTCAACTAGCCTGCGAACTTTTCCCTTTGAGAGTCTAGACTTGTACCTATCGTAACCCAATCTTTTAACATCCACCTGGAAGTACTAATGAGTCCCTGCATCGGTTTTAATTAAAAGGTATCGACCAAACGACCTCCTTTTTGTTTATTTGCTAAAATTCATATTCTTTGAACAAAAAAACACTCCATCCAAAGTCGACGAAAATCATGGTAAAAATAGGAAAGTATACCAAAGAAAAAATGTAACAGAGGTCACAATCAACACAGCATTGTCATGCATATGAACGGATAGAACCTTGCACAGCAAAACAAATCAAAATTGATATTAAAGTGAACAAAAACAATCAATGAAGCAATGCCATGCAATTAATTTATCAATTATTTCTCGTTCGGGATGAATAAATTACAATCGAAGGAAACTGTGAGTGTGTCGTTTGGAACTTTTCCAAGATCATGCGATATGCGGAACTATTTATGTATGTAATTGCATGCTAGCAACGTTTCGGCGGGAATCCATGCAGGTTATCTTACAAACGTACAATAAATTTAAAAGTTAATGTAAAATCTCCTGCCTCCTGATATCCAATTGAGAACAATCGCAAAATGACGACCAGAAATTCCAAACGGTACTTTTGTTAAAGCACTCGATTTTTGAACCATGAAATCTGATGATAAAGTTATACAAAGATCTGGACAAAGAAGCTTATCTGTAAATATAAACACACTGTATATTCAGTGTTACAAGTGTGCACACAGTTTCATAAGAGGCCTGAGTCAATTGATCAAATCACCAATATATCTTGTGAAAAAATGATTTGATGTAAAGTACGTGATGTATGAAATACTGTGTATAAAGTTTTTTCAATTCCTTTCCTATCATAACAAAATCTATTTAATTTAAACTTTACATGACTGAAAAAAAATTTTTTTCTAATTTGTTATTAAATAAAAATCAAATCTTTATATAATATTGAAATCCTGATTTTTTTTTGCCATATTTGATATGATATTAACTTTTTTTATCATTTGTGTAACTAACCAATAGCACAAATAAGAATAGTACTAAAACACATAACCAAATTGGGTTCAACAATTTTAAACCTATATATACACTATAAAATAATATATAACATTAAAAGTATTGATAAGATTCAAGCAAAAAATCAAATCTTCAATCTGTTTAACAAATTAGTAACTTAAAGCTAACAGGTACTTTTACTATAATCTGATTAAAGTAAGCTCAAATCAAAAACCAAAAGTTATTGGATATTCTAATAAATAGATTTCTTTACCTATTCAAATATTAAAACAATTTTTTTAAAAATTTAAATAATATTTTTTATAATAAAACAAATAAATAAAAATTTATTGATATTTAAAATTCTTATTCTCTGACTATCTATATACAATATATTATATTTATAAATTTTAAAATTTTATTTAATTTAAGTTATTGTTTATAAAATTATAAATATAAATATAATTCCAATTTTTTCTTAATACACTATATATATATTTATATATATTACTATATATTATACATGTAATAAAAATTATGAAATTGAATTGAACACAATTAAAAATAAAGAATTTATTAATTGAATCAAATTATATTTTTTTATAGTTAATACAATTATTTTAATACAATTATTTGATGTAATTATTTTGATATAATTATTTTAATATAATTATTTTTATAAAAATTAAATTAATACAATTATTTTGTTTAAAATTAAAATGATAAATCATTCTATTTAAAATTAAATTAACTTAATTATTTTAATTAAAATTAGATTGATACAATTATTTAAATTAAAATTAAGTTAATATAATTATTTTAATTTTATTTATATATATACAATTATTATTTAATTTCCAATTTTGAACTTTCCATACTGTATATAAATATATAATATAAATTATTTTTTTAAAATTGTTTTAAAAATTCTTTTTTGTTCTTCTTAAATATTTGAAAAACTTTCCTTTTTAGGAAATTTTAACAAAACAAGTTTGGGTTCTTATCAAGTTAGTTAGTTATTTCTTTAAAAAAACATTTTTTTTCCTTTATTATTATTAAAAATAAAAATTCTTTTTAAAAAAAGTTGTCTGGTTGTCATCTTTCTGCTATAGCCTAAGAGATTTAGGTTAAATAGTTCTACATATTACAAGTGAAAATGTTAAAGTCTAGATATATTAGATAAAAGACCAGTATCTCTTCTTTAAAACAAAAAGTTATTTCTGCCAAAACTGATATAATAAAACTTTTCATATATTAAAGACTTGTTATATATAAACCAACTTCAAAAATTTAATTATAAAGACTCAAGCTGCATAAAAATAAAACTCTTAATTGAATTCCTAAAACTGTGTACCTTATAAATGAAGATTGCATAGAAAAAAGTTTTTAATTTGATATCTTTTTTGTTTATATATACAGAAACACTTTGGTTTTTTCTTTTCTTTTCACAACAAAAAATTAAAATTAGTTTATCATTATCAAAAAATTAATATTATATTCCAACTAATCATATTTCATTAAAATTACATTATTTATAACTACAATAATATTAACAACAATAATAATTATTAACAATATCTTATCATATATTAATATTAATTAGATAACTTTAAAGAGTGTAATAATATGAATACTAATATAAAAGTCTATTATAATAGTATTAATAACTTACTAAATATGTAAGAGTTGTATTCTGTTTGGCAGTTTTGCTTTTAAATTAGACAGCTTAAGCCAATCAAATCCTTTGAAGTGCCTACTAGGAAATTTTGAAGTTGTATTTCACTTGGCCATTGAAGCCTCTAGATTTGGTAATTTATATCAATCAAAAATTACAGTTTTAGAGTATTTACTAGGAAGTACATATTGTTAATGTCTCTTTCAGTAAGTTTGTTGCTTCTTCAGAGCACTTCTTGCATAATGTCAAGTAAGTGTTTGGCTTCTCTACTTGAGGTGTATAAGTTGTTTAGCTGAGTTCTACTAACGCTTTCCTTCTCTTTCCATTGTTTGCTTCTTGTGATAAATCTTTACCACTTTTTTTTTTGAGGTCCCAGTTATTTTATTTCATAACAAGTACTAGATTAAGTAAGTTAATTAGAATTTACTTGGTTAGGCAATAGTAATCACACATTTTAATTAAGAAGATTTTAATTTAGAAACTGGGCTTTCTTATTATTAATACTACTGCTTTGTTTGGTCTCTCTCTCTTTTTTTTATCCTATTTTTTTTTTTTTATTTTATTTCGTATACCTCTGTTAAGCTATAATTATGTCATGCGATCTTCTTCAAGCTCTAATAGATTATTTGTAATTAATAAGCTATTTAAGGTTATGGCTAATTTAGGCTTTCTAAAATTACTGTATATCATGGCTTTACATGTTATTATAGATTATAAATCATTGATTGTTGCAAATCAGGGTAGATATACAACACATCCCTGCCAACAATATCCATATTAATATCTTTCTATCCTTATAGCTGTATAAGCCAAAATTATGATGTGAAAAGTTTAATTTAATATTAATAAGTAGTAGATTTTTTTTTAATGTTAAAATGAGGTATTACTTGTAATCTTTATTAATAAAGTAAAAATTTAACTTATTACATAATTAATATAAAATATGAATTATATTATTATAGATATTAGCCTACTACTTATTAAACAAATATATTATCTGAAAAACTCTTGGACAGGGAAAACCTGAGGAACTATTTGTTATGAAAAATAAAAATAAAAAAACATTTCAGGCAAGATCACCAACATTATAAAATTTAGATAAGATAAAAAAGAAAGAAATTTTTTGAAACCTTTGTTAGATGTAATTCCTGAACATAGTTGTTTTGGTTCAGTTGAATGTCAGCACCATGCAAGCCACATATAACTTGATGGGTTTGGTTATGTGATGTTTTAGTTTTTTGACTGTGTAATAAATTAATTTCAGGTTTATGTTTTGTTGTGAAACAGAGTTGTATAGTATTTCTTGATTTGGATTTGTTTTGATGATACTACTAGAACCCATGCAGGATACTGATCTCATACTCTTTCAATCTGGTAAGTTGTTATATCATTTTGATTTTTTTGAAATTTGTATGAATATTGATTAGTATATTAAATATGATAGATCTTTTAGTGAAAGTAAATCTAAATAATAAATTATTGAAGAATTATAATCAATAGTAAAATCTTTCAAAGAATATAGAAGTTTAATAGGAGAACATATAAATATTGATAAACAAGAATTTTGTAAAAAAAAATTTAAAATAAATTCAAAAGTTTCTTTATTAATTTTTAATTTAGAAGATGAAATATGTCTTTGATAATCAAATATATTAAATAATTGATTATTGGATTTTTTTAAAACAGTAAAAAATTGTTTATTGCTAAAATTAAAACCAATATTTTTTAATTTAGATCTACTATATAAACCAGCAATTAAAGATAAAATACTAGATTTATATTTTGTAAAAACAAAGTTATGCATGGTTTTAATATTATTTAAAACTTGTATAATTTTTGAATTACTTTGTAAATTGGAGGAATATGATTTTTCAATATATGAATTATTTAAAAAATAATTATATAATTGTTCTGGTTAATTATAAGATAATTGTAAAATAGTATTATATAAAATTGATATAATAAGACTTTTTTGTGATAAGAAATAAAAATCAAAAGGTAAAGGATAAGGGTTATAAGAATTTAATAAAGAAGAAAGTTTTTTTCTAAGATTTAAGAAAGGCATGATGAAATTAAAATACTAAAATGAAAAATAAGAAGTATTTATCATTAGGAAATTTTCAGAAAAATCTTCAAAAACCTTCAAAGGTTTTTAAAAAATTTTAAAATAATAAACTCCAGAAATTTTTATTTCAAAAAAATTTAAAAATCTTTGAAGTAATAATCATTATATTAAAATAAATATTTATTTAATAAATATTTATTACTTTTGCTCTACATATCTTCAATATTATTAAAAATAATAAGAAATTTTGACTCATTTAAATCTTCATTAGACTCATTACTAGAGTCTACAGTTAAAATACATTTGCTAACATACCTTATATAAGAGAAATGTCTTGAAAAGGTGTATTGACAAAAATGACATTTGTAATTTATTTTAAAAGCCTTTGAAGGAATCTAGAAAATGTGTAAAATTAATCAATAAAATATTGATTAATTTTGATCAATCAAAAATTTAATTTAAAAGTTATAATAATTATATCAATAAAATAATAAAATAATAAAATGATTTTATTTTTGTATAATAACTTAATAATTTAAATTTATGAAGTAATTTTTGAAAGGTGATGAAGAAAAGTTAACAGTTATAATATGACATAATTTCTTGAAATTTGTATTATATAAGGTTTCTAAAGTTCTCATATTTTTTTTAATGTCAAACAAAAAATAAGAAACACATAAAATGTTTCAAAATCTTATTTCTGGTTTTGCTGAAAAGGAAAAAGTCAAAGAAGTACTTTAAAGTCCTCTAAAAAGACAAAGAGTACTCAGGAACACAAGGGCCATTTATTGAACAAAGACTCTCGACTTCTATTGAAATGGAAACAGAAACATCTTGAAAGTGATTGAGATCTTCTAGACATTTTTTCGAATCTTCTTTTGATATACCAGCATAGAGAACATCCAAAGAAACTTCAGGTATATTTAAAAATTTGCTATAATTTAAAATAAAATACTAACTTATATATTTAGTTCCTAATAAAGCCATTGAAAGAATCATGAAGTCCCATGAAGGCCTTTATAAAAAAATCGACCAATTATTAGAATGACAAAAAATTATAGAGAATAAGGTTACCTACCTGAAAAATGAAATTCATGCAAGTCAACATTTAATCACTAAACATGATTTTATCAAGATAAGATTCATTTTGAATTTTTTCAAAAGTCTTTGAAAACTTATATTTTATTTAAATAATGTGTGATTAAGAGTATTACAAAACAAGTATTTTTTGAAAAAATATATCCGGACCTTGAAGATTTTTGCCAAACAACTAAGAAATTTTTTTAGCAAGAATATTCAAAGTTCTACAAAAGCTTTACAAGAAAACACTGGAAAACATATTATAAAAAACATATTATAAAAAATATATTCATTAAGTGGTAATTCTTATAAATATTAATAACTTTAGTTCTTCAATTATTAAATACCTTATTGCTTTAAAAGCTCATGAAACAACATTGATCACTTCAGAAGACTATGGCTTCAAAAATTCATGATGTCATGTTTTCGGTTTTTGGCAAAGAATTTTTGGATACAATAAATATGAATGCATCTGCTGCCGATATTTTGGCCTGAAAACAATCTTGGAAGACTACCGAATGCTTTGAAAACCTTTACAAATGTCCAAGAGGAGAGACACAAAGCATGATGGTTCATATTCTCAAAAAAGTTTTGCCAAAGGGAGATGTCTTCAAGAAACAAATGGCATTCACCATTGCAGTATGTCAAACAGTTCTTGATCCAAATAATAAAAGTATTTTGATAAATGAAATGTTAATTAAAAGCAAAGTAGAAAAAAATAAGATGAGTTTTTAAAAATCTTCGAAGTTTTATAAATTATTGCTAATAATATTTTAAAAGAGAATTCAAAAAGGTCTTGAATTCGAAGAAAAAAATTCAAGTAGTGAAGATAAAGAAATAATCAATTGATGAATTATTACTATAGAAGATAATCTAGAGAAATGTGAAAATAATGAGAATAATCCAGGACAACTACTGGAAAATAAAGAATTAGAAAGAAGGACTTCGGCAATGAACAAAGATTTAACCAAATAAATAAATGTAATTGAGTATTGATAAAGATATTAATATTAAAACTTTTAGATTAAAAATTTAAAAATTTGAAATTTAAAATTATAATGACAATATTATTACATAATTATCTTAATAACTTATTATTTAATACAGTCAACTCTCTCTAAGTGCAAACTCTCTAAGTGCAAAAACCCTCTAAGTACAAAAAATTTCATTCCCCAATGTTGGAACCTATAAGTTAAGTGCAAAAACTCTCTTACTGCAAATTTGCAGTTAAACCATTCCCCGCCATATCGAGACTTATCTCTAAATGCAATCCGTCACGTGATACATATTGTGACAGGCTTATCGATGAGTCTGTCAGTGGCACCTGCTTTTTTGACTTGAATGTTTCTAGCCGATCATTATGATCACATAGCAGAGTAAGTGCGCGTGTGCGCGTGTGCGTGTGTGCATATGTGCGCGATTCTGTTAGTTATAAATTTTATTTCTGCATTTTATCGTTATCGTTATCGTATTCCTCTCAACGTGCCATCCATGTCACCACAAAGTGGCAAAAAAAAACTTGTGACACTTAACGATTTACAACGTCGGGCTCTTTGCGAATTCCATCGTGCTAACCCTTCCTTCAAGCAAGCAGACTTGGTTCGTTGGATAAAAGAAAAGTTTGGGTTAGATATTCATGTCTCCACAATTTCCCGCACATTGGCTCGCTCTTCTGAAGTTCTCTGTACTTCTACCATCGTCACACCTGCTGTTAAACGCCATCGCTCTGTCAAGTCTCCAAACCTCGATTCAGCTCTTTTTGAATGGATACTGATCTTTCAAGAGAAAGTAGTTCTTTCAGATCAAATTATTATTCAGAAGGCAAAGGAAATTCACGCAAAACTTGCACCAGAAACGGATATCAGCTTTTCGTATGGTTGGCTAACCCGTTTTAAGGAACGTCATAATATAAGACTTCGTAGAAAGCATGGTGAAGCCGGATCTGTTGACCAGTCAACTGCTAGAATATCTCTACCGGGGATTCAGCGAATTATTCAAATGTACAATCTTAATAACGTTTTTAACTTCGATGAAACTAGTTTATTTTATCGGTAAGCACTATTGGACTATTGTTATCACTGTTGCTGTTATTAATTTTTTGAAAACTATAGTCTCGAGCCTGACACTACCCTTGCCACGAAACGTCTACTCGGAAAAAAGAAATCTAAAGAACGTATAACAATCGGTCTGTGCGCAAATGCAACAGGAACGGAACGTCTCCCACCCATCATCATCGGAAAATCAAAAAATCCACGCTGTTTCAAGGGAATTTCATTAGGAAACATTCCAATGC